CGCGCCGGCCGCCGCCGCCGCCGCCGCGCCGGCCGTGGCGGCCGCGGCGCCAGCGCCAGCGCCCAAGGCCCTGGCGGCTGCGATGCCACCGCTGCCGGATAAGGGTCTGCTCGCAAAGGCGCAGGCGACGCTGGCTTCACTGCAGCACGTGGGCAACGACGGCGCCGCGGCGGGCGGCGCGTTTGGCGGCCTGTCGCTGTCCTCCGGGTCGAGCGCGGCGGCCGCGGCCGCGCCAGCGGCGGCGTCAGCGGCGGCGCCCAGCGGCGGCTTTGGATTCGGCGCGGCCCCCGCGAGCAGCGGCGGCGCCGCGGCGGCAGGCAGCTCGCCGTCGCTGTTTGGCAGCTTCGGCGGCGGCGGCGCGGCGACCTTTGGGGCATCAGCGCCCGCATTTGGCGCATCGGCGCCTGCGTTTGGAGCATCAGCGCCTGCATTCGGCGCCGGCTTTGGCACGACGGCGGGGTCTTCGGCGGCTGCGTCTGCTGCGTCCACGGGCGGCTTCGGGTTTGGGTCCCTTGGCTTGGGCGGCCCCGCGTCTTCCGCCGCCGCGTCCTCCGCGGCCGCCTCCGCGCCGTCGCTCTTCGCCGCCGCGCTCGCCAACACGCCGCCGGGCGGCTCCGCGCCCGCGTTCGTAATACGCAAAGCCAGCCATGCAGCAGCACGTGCTCCCAACTGCACAAAGCCAGCCAGCAAAAGCCGCCACAGCAGCACCGCGAGCAGTGGCGCGCGCACTCTGGCGAGCGGAGCCGCGGCAAGTGGACGCGGCGCCGAAAGCCGCAGTCGGAAGCGAGCCGGTCCCCGGCGGACTGAAGCGCATGCTAGGCTGCAGCAAGCAGGCACGGCAGAAAGCCTCAGTCGGAAGCGAGCCGCTCCCCAGCAGACAAAAACGGGCGGGCGGGCGCGGCGGGGCGGGGCGGGCGGCCGGCTCGGGTGCTGCGCCGGCGAGGCGCGCCTTGTAGCAAGTGTGTCCCTGCTGCGTCGCTGTCCATCGTTTTCATCAATTCCTGGCTTCCAGACCGCATCAAGCATAGTAACGAGTCGCTATGTATAGGGGAGTGACATATGGGCTTGGGCGATGGCTGCTGCTGCGACAAGCCAGGTGCAAGCGGCGGGAGGCAGCCGCGGCATCGCCAGGAGCAGCAGCAGGAGCAGCAGCAGGAGCAGCATCAGGAGCAGCAGCAGGAGCGGGAGCAGCAGCGGGCCGCCTGGGCAGGCGGCCCGCAGGCTCGCGACTCGGACTGCGTTGACAGCAGCAGCAGTGATGATCAGGGGAGCGAGGACAGTGGAGGGAGGGACGACGACGGGGAGGGCGGCGGAACAGTCGTGGGCGGTGGTGCCTCAGAGGCGGAGGAGGAGGAGGAGGGGGAGCGGCGCCCGCACGGCCACGAGGGCGGCGGCACAGGCCCCCCCAATGCGCCGCGCCGGTGGGGCGGCGGCCGGGGCGCCTCGCCTGACCTGCCGAGGCGCCTCGACGGCGGTGGCAGCGGCTTGGCTGCCTTGCCGTCGCTAGAGGCGCGCGGCGGCGGCGGCGGCGGTGGTCAGGGGCTCAAGCGTGGGCGGCTGCTGGAGGGCACAGGCGATGCGGAGGCCGCGCGGGTTCCGGTGGCGCACGGCGAGGCGGCGGCGGGGCCGCGAGTGCTGCACGGCTCGGGCTGTCGCGGTCGGGGCACAGGTAGGGGCAGGGGGCGCGGCCGCGGCCGCGGCCGCGGCAGGGGGCATGGGCGCGGCTGCGGCGGCGCCCATGAGACCGAGATGACCATGCTTAAAAGCCGCAAGAAACCGAAGTACAGCGGCAGCAGCAGCGGCAGCGGCAGCAGCAGCGGCAGCTCCAGTGGTGGACGCAGTGGTGGCGAGACAGAGACGGAGTCGGGTGCAGGGGAAGGCGGGTCTGGCGGCGAGGAGGTGTATGACGACGCGGCCTTTGGTGCCTCGCCGTCAAACAGTGATGACAAGGGTGTGGCCGAGCAGGGCGCGGGCCGCGCGCGGCGCTCGGCAGCAGTCGGAGCGCAGCTGCGTTGGCGCGAGCAGCGGCGGTTGGGCGGTCTGTGAGATGTGTGCATTGGCTGCTTGCACGCTTGTAACACAGCCATCTTTGCAAGTTGCAAGTACAATGAGGTGATCAGCCCTCAGCATCAGGGGTGTAATATTTAGACTGATGATGGTGCGGGGCTCTAATTAGACTAATTTCCCTAATTTACCTCGTATGAGACGAATATTAAGCCTTAACCCTCTGCCCGCCCTGCACTGGAATCTGCTCTCCGTGGTGGATTTTGATGGATTACGAGCTCCACGGCAGTCGGTCACCAGGGTGCTGCGAAGGATGGAGACGCTCGTGATTGTACTCTTCTTTCGTTATTGAATGAGACACTCGTAAGCCCGAGCATGCAGCCTTGCTGAACGGTGCACGCACTTGCGAAACAGGCGCGCCGGTGCGCTCTCGGCGCGCATCACTGTGGCTGGAGGGCGGGCTGGGCAACGCGTGGACCGCAGTGTTGAGCCCTTAGCAGTTTAGAAAATGTTCCAGGTGGGTGGCGCGTGCGAGCTGTGAGGCTGCAGCGGCCAGTGCGCCTGGGGTGGCTCCAGCAGTCGAACGAGCTGTCGGCGTGTTCCGGTGAAAGTCGCCCCGCCTGCCGCCGCAGCTGCAGGCGCGCCCTCTGCGCCCCGTGCCCTGGTCCCATCCTCATTTCCTCCCCTTCTCCAGGTCCACAGCACCGCCGGCGCCGTCGGCTGCCTGGTGGCCGGATTGTTTATGGTGAGGGGCACCCGTCCGCCCTCGCGCGCCCCACCCTGCTGTCCCCGCTGTCCCCACCCTCATCCCCACCCTCACGACCCATGTTCGCCGCGGCGCTGCCTGCTGATGAGGTCCCGGCCTGCCATTCACCCACAACCCCGCCACACGCGACCCGCCGCCCGTTTTATCTCATGCCCTTGGCCCGCTGGACCCCATCACGCACTGCCGCGCATCGTCTCGCCCGCGCATCTGAGCCCTCTCGCCCCCGGATAACGCCCCCCCGCAGCTCGGCCTCTGGCCGACCGTCTGGGCGCTGGTCGAGCGCCGCGGCCGCATCCCCAGCCACACCTTCCTGGACTATGGCATCAGCTACACCCTGTTCACCGTCGCCGCCGCCGCCGCGCTCGGCCAGGCCGGCCCCTCCTCCGCCGACGCGCCGCCGTTCCTGGACGCGCTGCGCGCCGCCGACCCCCGCCTCGCCGCGCTCGCCGCGACCGGCGGCGCGGCCGTCGCGGCGGCGGACGTGCTCCTGCAGTACGGCGTCGCCTTCCTCGGCGTCGCCGTCGGGCCGCCCGCGTTCTGCGCGGTGTCGCTGCTCTGCTCCGCTGTCGCGGCGTTCTTCCTGGATGGCCGCCGCAACGCGCCCGCGCTGCTGTTCCCCGGCGTCGCGGCGGCGCTCGCGGCGATAGCGCTGGGCGTCTGCGCGCACGCCGCTACCAGGGCGGCGCGGCTGGCGCGCGCGGGGGCCGCGGATGCAGAGACGGGGGACGCTGCCGAGGAAGGCGTCAGCAGCAGCGGCGGCTCGCCGACCGCGGCGGCGGCGGCGGCGTCCGTGCCCCGCGCCGACAGCCGCGCGCCGCTCAGGGACTCGGGAGCACAGGACAGTGCGGCGG